GCAGTTCAAAATAACCAGCCACCCTTTGGGAGAAAGAAGGAACCCTCAACTCCTGTATAAAATCACAGGGGCAGTTCTACTCTGTCCTGTTGGGTCGCTGAGAGTCAGCATCGACTCCATGGCAGTGAGTTGGTTTTTTTAAGACCACTATTAACTTTAAGTTTCTCTTCAGATGATTTGTTAGCCACTTAACTCACATATTTTATAAATTCATGTATAAATTTATCTCTGGTTTATTTGTATATATTTTATCCATTCCTTTTTAATGGATTATTTATAATTTCCTAAGAAAAGTACTTATTAGCAATAGTAACCTATTTATATTTGATGAATTTTAAAAATTAGGTGAAGTACATGCAACAAAAGATGCCAATTTAACACTTTCTACCTCTAAAAGCCCATTACATTGATTATAACACTCAAATTATACAACTGTTGTTGTTATTCTCCCGCAGTGCCCCCCCCCTCCCCACCCCAATTATTCTACCACATTAACAGTGTTTCCTAAGCAACAGTCCCCTCATTTCCCTCCCATCTTACTCCTGGTAACCAAACTGTGGAGTTGATTCTGACTCATTGCAACTGTGTAGGGCAGAGTAGAGCTGCCCCATGGGGTTTTCTAAGATTATATATGATCGTTACAGAAGCAGAGTGCTACACCTTCCTGTAACCACTGGGTTTAAACTGCTGCCAAGTTTTGGGTTGATAACTAAGCAGATATTTATTTCAACGTTGTATATTTTCTTTGGTTTTATTTAGTGTTCATGTTTGTATTTTGGCTTGTAAAATCCATTTGCCATGTTTTGTATATATGAAAAGGAACCTCCCCAAAACAAAATGTTTTTCAAAGAGATGTATTTAATTTTTTTTTTTTTTTTTTTTACAAATCATCCGTTTCACCTTCAAAGTATTCTTGTCAAATCTGCGATTCCATTCATGGGAACATTTCTTAAGCTTAACTGTTTGGATGACTGATAGTACCAACCTTGTTTTTTAATTCACCACTTCGACATCATCAAATTGCTGTCCTTTTATGCCCCTCTTCATTTGTGGAAGCAAAAAGAAATCACACGAAGCTAGGTCAGGTGAGTCAGGTGCGTGAGGCAACAGAGGTATGCTGGGTTTTGCCAAAAACAGGCACACTGAGATGGCTGTGTGAGCAGGTGCATTGTCATGGTGGCAAAACCAGTCCCCCCATCTGCCACACATCAGGCATTTTCGTCATACATTATTACACTTTATTTTCAGAACCTCTAAGTAGAAAGTGTGATTAACAGTGTTCCTGGTGGAACATACTCCAAATGCACCACAAGTCAACATTTTCATCCGTTCAGAAAGTTGACGATGTCCAGAACGAGGTTTGTCATCAATCGACATTTCACCTTATTTTTGATACAAGAAAACTACTCAAACATAAACTTGAGTTTTTTCCCATAGCGCTGTCCTTGTAGATAGTTTTAAACATTACAACAGTTTCTGTGGCATTTTTCTTGAGCAAAACTGCTTTTATAAAATAAATTCACTGTGACCAGAGAGCACCTTCCCAAGCAATGCCACTGGATGCAGTAATTCAGAGCAAGTAACGTGATGTTCACGTAGCAGGAAAACTGCATACTATGAAAGCTCTGCTCTGCCTAGTGCAATTCCATTTTGGGGGGTCGCCTTCTTATTATGGGAACCTCTTTCCTGTACACCTAGTATAATTCCAAATGTAGGACTGGCTTAAGGGAAGACTTGATAACAGTGGCGCAGTTAATATTGCTAAAAGATTTATTTCCCCTTGTTCTTTGATCCTACTCATTACCTGGAGTTTCTGTTGTGTGTTGTTCCACCCCATTTTGAATCCTTTCTGAGTCACCAGAGGACTATGGAAGTATTAGGCCATTCTTTTGTTTCAGAGAAGACTAGGAGTCAAGGGTGTTTTTTAGAATCTTCCCTAGAAAGCAAATTTCTTTTCCCACAATGCCCAAGGACATAACTCCTTACAAGATTGGCCTTGACTGAGTCAGGTTTTCCTTCCTGAATATCAGTGGCTGGGGTAATGGGATATGTTGACTGGCTTATGTCAACTTGGGTTTGCTCCTGTTGTAAGGACAGGATTAAATTCCTATAAACCATATGTCGTAGAGTGGGAGAGGAAAAATATTTATCAGAAAATTTAAATATTTTTCAGGAGAAGGGAGAATAGCTGCCAGGTAATCATGGCATGCATGACCTCATCTTCTTTCCACTAATCTTCATTTATTTTTATCTGTTTCCCATTTTCTACTCTATTTTACTAATCTATAGAGTGGTCATTTACTCATTAATGGCTTAGCCTGCATTTTATTATCTTTTTAAGCAAGTTTCACCACCTCCTCGAAATTTCTTGAACAGTTTTTGTTTTGTTTTAGATAAACTTTGAGGTTTTAATTTGAATTACATTATGCACACACAGTGGATCTTCAAAAAGCGATGGGGAAAATGACACATCTTTTCGTTCCATTTTCTACAAACTTTTGAAATTTAACATGAAAAAAAGAAATCCAGATTAGATTAACATAACTATACAAACAACCTGCATATATTCAGCAATTTCACCACCGCCTCAATATCCCCCCCCCTTTTTACTTCTCTTGTGTGAAAGGCAAACCTTGTCACTAATCTTTGACCCGCAGCGCTATCACAGTACTGAAGGACTAATGACTACCCTTCCTTTCACTACAGAATGCTTATCCTTTTGAATACTGCACATAATTTGCAGCCTCTTCTAGTAAGCTTATTTTGGTTACTGGGAAGCACCAGTACAGAGACAGATGGCAGTGTAGAGGCAGAATAGTTGGAAATGTGAGATCAAGCTGCCTTATAAACCTTTGGGGGAGAAAGATGAGGTTTTCTGCTTCTGTCAAGATTGATAGCATTAGCATCAGAAGCCCACAGGGCATTTCTACCCTGTCCTTTTGGAGTCAATAAGAACCAAAATAGACTTGATTGTAGTGAGTTCGAATGTTGTAAGTGTCGATAGAGCAAACAGATTAAGAGTTCGACTACTAGGCAAAAGGTTGACAGTTTTAACCCACTAGAAGGTGCTTTAAAGGACAGGCCTGGTGGTCTGCTTTCAAAAGATCTACCCTTTACAGTTCAGATTCAGTCTGATATAACAACATGCAGGGGGGCGGTTAATGTAGTTTTTAATATCTGTGTATGAGGGGGTATCCCCCACAAAACATAATTTTTGTCAAAAATGTAATTTTTGTCCAAAGCTATGTATTTAAATTTTTCTACAAAACAACTGTATCACCTTCAAAGTACTCTCCATTACACTTCATACATATGTCAAATCTGTGATTCCATTCTTGGAAACATTTTTCAAATTCATCTGTTTGATGGCTGACAACACCTCCCTCATTTTTTTTCCTTCACCTCTTCTACATTGTCAAATTGTTGTCCTTTCATGGCCCTCTTTATTCGTGGAAACCAAAAAAAAGCCACACAGAGGAAGGTCAGGTGAGTAAGGTGGCTGGGGCAAGAGAGGCATGCTGGTTTTTGACAAACACTGGCACACTAAGATGGTTGCGTGAGCAGGTGCATTGTTGTGGTGGCAAAACCAGTCCCCCATCTGCCACAAATCAGTCTTTTTTTGTCGCACACTGTGTTAGTCTGGGCTAACTAGAGAAACAAATCCAGAGACACTCATGTGTGTGATAGAAAACTTTATGTGAAAGAGTAAATGTATATTAAGAAAACATCCAGTCAGATCAAGTCTGTAAGTTCGATGTTAGCCCATGTGTCCAATACCAATCTATAAATTCCTCTTCAGAATCACTCAACACATGCAATGACTCCGAACGCAGGAAGATCACAGGCCAGTGGGTGGAAAGTCTTGTGGATCCAGTGGTGGTGGAAGTATCTCAGTGCTGGCATGGGTCTCCACGTGGCTCCTCCTGCTCCAGGTCTCTGGCTCCATCAGCATAGCTCCATGTGACTTGTCAACAGGAATGTGTAGCAGAGAAAGTGGTTCTGGCCTCCAGTGAGCTATCTATCCCTGTTGAACCTCCAAATGAGGTCATGAAGCTGGGACCTGACTGAGGAACTAGACTCCATCCTCTCCTCAAATTGACAGTAAATTAAGTAACTGTCATAAACACTGTTATGCAGTCTTTTCAGAAATTCTAAATAGAAAGCTTGATTAGCAGTCTGACCTGGTCGAATGAACTCCAAATGCACTACAAGTGGACATTTTTGTCTGCTCAGGAAGGTGACAAAGTCCAGAATAAGGGTTATCATCAGTCGACATTTCACCTTTTTTTGAAACAAAAAACTACTAGGGTTTTTCCCCATAGCGCTGTCCTTGTAAGCTGTGTTCAACAGTTTCTGCGGCATCTTTCCTGAACAGGAAACAAAATTTCACACCTGCATGATGTTCTCTTCAATCAGCCATCACAAAAAAACGAGGTTTGATTGAAACTTTCACGAAAAAATTCACAGTGACCGAGAAAGCCCTCCCAGGCGACGCCACTGGGTGCACTACCTCAGAGCTAATTGCTAATGCTCACCTTGCGGGAAAAACGTGTATTGTGAAAGTTCCACCTGGCGGAGCTTTTTTCTCTCTTTCCTGTTATTTTGTGTGTGGGGGGGGGGCGGCAGGGGTACCCCTTGTATATGTGTGTGTATGTGTGAGTGCCTTCCTATTTTAATTCTAGATGTTTAAAACTTCTAAATGAAATAGAATGTTTGCAAAACGTGTACTAGTCATAACTTTTGTGAGATAAAGTTTCCTTGCTTCAAACATTAAATGCTGAACCAAGATTCAGAAAACTGAGGACTTTTTTTTTTAAGCTTTAGATATAAAGTAATGGTTCTTACATTCTTTTTCTCCATAGCATCCTCTCGCTAGATTAACAGACCTTGAATAGCTTATACAAATGGTTTTAAGTTAAATGAATGCTGTTAGTTTTTGCGTCAGTGTTCCATAGAATGCTCCAAGGAGTAAACTAATCTGTGATGTGTTTCGCTTACAGTGGGACGTCCCCTCTCGCATGCCTGAATGCAATGCTCCACACAAACTCCCGGGGTGAAGAGGGCATCTTCTATAAGGTTCCAGGTAGAATGGGAGTGTATACACTGAAGGTAAATATACTTGTTGGGGAATCATTTAGAGAGATAAGAATACCACATATGCACGTATACAGATTTGAGTCTTAGAGACAGAATTCTGTTTTTCTTGAAGTGTTTATTTTTAAGAAGAGGTAATATAATAAAGCCTGCAAAAGCCAGAGCCAGTATAAGGCAGAATCCAATCAGAGAAGACAGACTCAGATATTTCCTACTAAAGTGAGCAATAGGAAGTGGTAAGACTACACTCATCTACACTCACACTCACAGAAGACTACACTCACAGAAAACATGTGAGATCCAACAGCCCCATTGTTTTGGCTCACAGTGTTTCAGTGTATTTTCAGCCATTTAGCCAATACAGTCTCTGCCTTTACCTATAGGCAATCTTGAGAAATAGCTCCTTTTTGGGGGGTTTACTCTTTAGGGTCTTGAAAGGATGAAATAAAAAGGACTTCTCACTGACTTCTTAAAGAAACTTGAGACTGAGATAAGGCCACATGCTGCTGGCAGGCTTTCTCACGTCCTCACCACGTTCAGAGTGGTGACTATTCATTCCACTTTTATGGTGGACTGCAAGGCAAAGTTCACATCACTGGATTTTTATTTTTTGCCCCGTGTTTTCAGATAATATCAGAACCAAAATACAACTCGATATCTCAGTAAACTATTAGGCCTCTATTCTTTCCACCATAGTAGCAAGCTTGCTAATTTTAATTGTTACAATGAGAATGGGCCTGTACTTATTGGTGTCCTTTAAATTACAACTGACAGGAAAACCAACTTAAAAGCTTGAGTAAAACAATCTATTGGCTCATATAACCAAAAAAATTCAAGGCTAGCACAGATTGAGTGCAGGCCTCAAATAATGTCATCAGGGCTTGGTTGCTGGTTTGCTTGGGCTTCACCTCAGGCAGGTTCAGTCCTCATCACATATGATTCCACACCCAGCCCCTTCTCTGTGATTTCTAAGTCTGGGGGAAAGAATCTCAGAAACTAAAGCAGGAGCCTTTTAGTTAATTCTGATGGACTTAATTAGTTTAATTTGGTTCATGTGCCTACACCTATATAGTCACTGTTGCTAATTGTAGCAAGCCTCCTGACTAGCTTTGGTTCATGAACACCCTTGATATGAGGAGAGAGGTTGTACCCCAAAGGGCATTCAGGAAAGTTGCCTCAACAGGAGAATGGATGTTTGGCATGCAATGACAATGTCCGTGTATATGTGGGATTCTGCCCCCTGACTTTCTTAGCTTTATCTGCAATCAACACTATGCTCAATCGTGCTCAATAGTGTGTAGCTCACTCAGATTCAAAAAGATTGATCTACCTCTAATGTTTCCTTTTTATGTATTTTATTCAAATTAAGGATTTTTTTCCCACATAAGGACTTTTCTACATTTATTTTAGGTTTTAAATGCTTCATATTTTTAATAACATGTATTAAATACCTTCTCTATACGGTAGCATCTCTAAAGAAGAATGAACTATGGTCTCTAAACTCTTGAATCTCATATTATAGATACTGAAATAACTGCATACTGTTAGAGCATATTGTATTATAAAGTACTGTACTATAAAGTAGTGTGATGGTATAGGAAAATAAGTTAATTTTGACCAAAGAGATTTAGAAATTGTTTCCTTTTTAATATATAGTATATTTGAGATGTGGGCTTGTATACAGGGGAGGGAATAAATAACTTATGCTAAAACTGAGCACAGGTGACATCTTCACAATGGGTTTAAGGTCGAGCACATTGGCGTGGCTTGAAGGAAATCTTTGTGGGCGCTAGCGTAAGGAGCTCTGGGGAAGTGAAGCACAGACTTGGTAGCCTTTGCAAATCTGAGCAGTTCTAAAGTGTGGGTGTGCGTTTCTCTGATGACAACGGTCTTTCAGCGTAGCACAATCAAATTCAGGTGTAGGAAGATAATTTCAGAGTACTAAGTAAATGTAGGGGAAAGATGGTTATGGTTGTTTGCAAGAGATACTTAGGGTGTAAGCTACGGGAGGGATAAAGAAGAAGAAATATTCAAAAGCTTTTAGAGAAGTAAAATAAGTAGCATCTGGATAGGTAGAGAGCAGTGAGGTAATTGCAGGATTAGGAGCATGGCAGCAGTTGATCCTTGAAGGATAGATAGCAACTTTATGTGAAAAAAGAGAGGGTTAAGGTGTTTTACAGGCTCCTAACTTCACAAACATTATCTCTTACTTTGAAGGAAAGAACAGAAAAATGTAGGGTCTATATTTTAAGAGCACGTGTAACATGAGAGATGGCCCAGGGGAAAATGGCGATAGGATGTACACGTAAGTGAAAAGTAGTCTTCATGCCACATGGGAACCAGAGGCTTTCATTTTGTCTGTTAGAATTACTTTGATCTGAGTGTGAAAGTAAATTATTTGGGAAATTAAAAAATATTGAAAGAAAAAGAATCATCCATCGTTTTATGATTTATCAATAACAATGTTCTTTAATGTATATATATATTTTTGTGTATTCAATAAATGTGTAAATAATAACTAATTGAAATATTCCCATATGCCAAGAAATATTTATAAGCATTTTACACTAACTCAATTTCAGAATGACTTTTTAGGTTACACACTATTATCACTCCCACTTTATACAAAAGGAAACTGAGGCACAAGAAGTTACCACTTTAACCAAGGCTACATAGTTAGAAAACACAAAGCCAGAGTTCAAACCCAAGAAGCTTTGATTTAGTGCTGAAAAGCTTTACTTCTCTAAAAGTCTTTCAGCACATAATTACCCTGTTAGATCTTGCACATACTATGTTGACACACATACCTTGTCTGATGCGAAAGCTCACTGTTCATGTACAGAAACTAAAGCAATCCATGTGACTTAAGACCTTTGCTATCCAGACCTAATATGTAAATGCTTCTATACACAGAAGTGCATGCACAGCAAACACACTCGCATTTTTCAAAACCGTCATGACAGTGTTCTTCTAATGTGATCGTTTTCCTCATTTACCTGTATTTAACCAGCTCGGTTATTTTGCAGCAATATGTATCAGAGACTAAATTGCTGTTTGCTGAAATGGTAATGATTCATTTTAATTGGATGCCTATATTTTCAGAAAGATGTGCCGGATGGGGTGAAAGAGCTATCAGAAGGTTCAGAAGAAAGCAGTGATGGTCAGTCAGATTCCCAGAGTTCTGAGAACAGCAGCAGCAGCAGTGATGGTGGCAGCAACAAGGAGGGGAAAAAGAGCAGGTGGAAAAGGAAAGGTAAATCCACCTGATCGCTCGCCAATGTACTGAATGTTGTCGTTCAGTTGCCCTTCCTTGTTAGTCATTCCCCTTTCCAGACTACAGATCAGTCAGGCTCTCTTCCCCCAGCGCAGTCCAACAGAGTTTTCTGTGGTGATTGAAGTGTTAGATCTCTCCGCTGCCTAACACTAGCCACATGTGTCTACTGAGTACTTGATATCTGGCTAGTGTGGCTGCGGAACTGAATTTTCAACTGAAATTGAATAGCCATATGTGGCTAGCGATTACCACACTGTACAACATGACTCTAGGTTTTACTGGGGATTATTCTCAGCTCTTGGCCACTCATAACCCTTTAGGGTGCCTTTCTCCTCCCCCCCCGCCCCCTGCCCCCCAATCCTCTTCTAAATTTGAATACTTACTGTTTTTAACAAATCTCTCCTTCCTGAAACAGTGCTTTTTTATTTCTGTTAGCAAAGACTAAATTTAGACTGCTAGTATTTGCTGTCATCTCTCCTGGTGTTTGCTTCATCAAACACGATCAGACTCTCTGCCATTGAATTGAATCCAGTGAAAGGTAGTGACACTATGCAGAGTTTCTGAAGCCATATCTTTCTATGGGAGCAGACAGCCCCGTCTTATAGCTGACCTTGCGATTTGCAAATGCTTACCTGACAGCGTCACCAGGGCTCTCTAGCTTCATCGCTGACTCAGGAAACTTTCTTTAGTGAGTAGTGTTCTCGTTGCTGCTGCTTCCCTGGACTGATCTTTCCATGAAAAATATATTTCATTACCCATTTCTGGTAATTATTTTATAGCTTCTTAAAACAAGTATTTAGCCAACTTGAGCTGAAATAGTGATGTTCACAAGAGCAAAATAAACATCTAAGATTTTCGTTAGCTTGGAGACTTTCAGTCTTAAGTTGTACCTAGGAGCTAGGGTAATTTTTTGTTGGGATCTTTGACTCACTGATTTTCATTTCTTCAGAACTGCTATGATGCTTATAACAGAAAAATAAGTGTGATTTTTAAAAAAAATTTTATTTAATAAGTGTGATTTATTACCATCCCTACTTTATTGTGTGGACCATTGCTTGAGAGAATTGGGAAATTTTGTGGTATAGCTATTACACGTGCAATTTGGGCAAACTTTGTATCCAGAGGATTTTTGGCCGTAAGGTATCAGCCATTTAAAGAGCAGCCCATACCTTAGATGTTTGGAACAAATGGCAAAGCTGATGCCTCTGACCTGTATCCTCAATGAATCTTTAGAAATGAACCCTGTCAGTCGTGGGATGACCCAGGGCCTTACATTTCTTAGGCAGTTGGAGCACCTTCATTTGGGAGGGTAAATGGGGCCCGAATGAGAAGGGCCCTGTCCCCCCTCTGCTTCTCGCCATTTTAAACTTTTCCTTTTAAGTTTAGGAATTGTTGGTCAGAGATTAGAAACAGGCCAAATCATCAGGCAAAGTGAGAAAGAACTGTGGTTTAAAGAGGGCTGAAAACAACGAAATCAGTATTATAGGATTTAGGTTTTAGTAAACTGGGAATGAAGCCATAGTCTTGGGATATATTTGGAGGCTACCTCTTACCTTTCAAGAGCTGCATATGCGGCAGTAGTTGTTTTGAATAGTGAATAGTGACTGCTATATAGGTGTGTCTTCTGCTCAGAACCAGCAGTAGTTAGTGACCATCTCTAAGAATTTGAAGTAGATGGATTATGATATAGGAAGAACTAAGAAATACCATTAGAACCACATTGTCTGTAACTTAACAGATAGATTTGAATGACATCACCTTGCCCTGCACTTGACATAATAATAGAGGACATTACCATAAGGTCATATAAAATTCAAGATTGTGGTAGAAATATAATGCTTTTAAACTGCCTTTGATTCATTCCTTTTCTAGAAATGAATCAGTTGTCACAATATTGAATATTTACCTTCAGTATGCATTAAGAAGAGATCATTCTATAAAGTTATTTTCTGGGTGTAGTTAGTCTCTTTTAATTTTAACCAGAAAAGCTGAGACTACCATTCTTAGATTGGGCAGTGGTGGGTACATCTGTGGCATTGGGAAGGTGGAATGAGATGTGTACAGGATATCTTAGGTAATGCATGATTACTTTAAACCAAAATCAATCCCATTGTTAAGTCGTTTTATCCCAGAGTAACCCTATATATCTCCCAGAGTAACCCTATAGAACAGAGTAGAACTGCCCCCACAGGGCTTACAAGGCTCTAAATCCAGACATAAGTGGACCACCGCATCTTTCCCCCAGGGAGTGGCTGATGAGTTCAGACTGCTGACCATTTGGTTAATAGCCAATCACTGAACCACTGTGCCACCAGGCTCCTGTGTTTACTCTAGCAGCACTAACAGTCTCAAAAAATGGATAATTCCAACTCCCATTAAAGAACGAAATGGGGGGTTTGGTAAAACGTCCATCATTCATTCTTATGTCATACATAAGATATTTCGCATAGATACTGGTATAGAACACATTTTACAGTGTAAAATGAAACTAGTACTACAGCACTGGTCGTTGTAGGATGCAGCGTTAGGCTTGCAGAGCATTTCTATATCAGTTAAGTTATTGATAAAGTTAAAACAAACCAATTGTGCCTATTTTTCCTGTTTAGGTCTTTTACTCTCATTCTGACATCACTGTCTTTCAAATGCATTGTAAGACAGGAAGCACATTTAGATAGTATCAAAACCCACTTCCTTTTATGTACAGAAATAAAGAGCTCTGCCAGCAAAACTGATACTTCTAGTTAAAAATCGATAGACGTTTTCTTGATAGACATACATTCCCTTCAAGTAGGAACTTTGAAATTTGGTCCAGCATTAAAACTAGTTTCTTGATTTCTCTGTAAAGTGAAAGGACTTAGAAGTTTGCAATTCGGGTTCTCAATTTTCTGGCAGGAAGCAATGTTCAGAGAAGAGCTTTATGGAATTCCAAGGCAAGGTAAGGTGGAGTAGCTCAGACCAATGACTATTAGAATCAACTGTTTCTCTTGCTTTCCTAAAGAATCAGAGCTAAGTGAAGACTACCTTTTACCAAAATAAATCATAAATATTTCAGTGTGAAGCAACTGCAGGAGCAGTTGTGTATGTCTTCTCATACAGGAACGTTTTGTTAGAGTTAGTCTGTTTTTAAAGTGTTTTAGGAATAAAATTGATTATGAAAAATCTACTTTTTCATGTCTTTGGCTTTATTAGCTATTGTCTGGAGTATGAATTAATATACTGCTTATTCAGGACTAATTTAAAGCAAGGATTGGAACATTGTGTCTAGGACTTTTAAAATAGCATAAGCCTGCCTGCCTTTAAAATTCATTTACATGTATGTAGTGTGTGTGTGTGTGTGTACTGAACAGGGATGATTATGTGTAATAATGTCTCATATTAAATAGAAACTAGTGGGGGCGGGGCTTCTTTTGGCAAAATTCACTTATGTGGTATAAGACCTTTGGGTCTTTTTTATTCTGGGGTTGGTTGTTGCTGACTGAGGTTGAGATTTTTAACTCTGTCTTGGGTATTTGAGATGCTGTGCTGTTCGGACTTGGATAGTCAAGCTATCCAGAAGCAAGGAAGGCGCTTTGGTATGGCCTCTTCTCCATCTTTGAGCGGGCACTATGATTGTTTCTAGGAACCACAGCCTTCCTAGTATGGAGTAGACTGAATTTGATAAGAGGAAAAAAAGATGTAGAGCTAAAAAAGGTCCACTACTTCTCTGAAATTTCTGTAAAAGACTATTGCTGAAATCAGAACTCTTCTTTAAGAGAAGAATTACTGGTCTTGACAATTATACCTAAAGTTTCCAAAATTGTTTTAATCTAGACTTCAGCTGTCAGTCTTTTGACAATTTGTTTCCATTTTGATATTACTGCTCTTATGTTTCTGATAGCCTCTCTGGTACTTTAGAGGGGCCAATTGAATTTCTTCAGATGAAAATAAAATTTTAAGTCAGGTTATTTACTGAAGATTTTAACTCAGATGCATTCACATCCTTTTGTTATGGTTCAGTGTAATAATCAGCTTTTGAAATGGAAAATTCCCAGTACTACAAATGATTCCCCCCAAATGGGATGTTCTGGACTGATAGTCAATAAATGGTATATAAATATCCAATCACTTGAAACTAATTCATTCAATTATGTAAATTGACTTTGATGAGTTTCAAGTTCCAAAATTGGTTTTAAATGGTATTTTGTGAAAATTTAATTTTGATAATTTTAACACTAGAATTCTTTTTTTAAAAACTGTTACTATGTACTTTGTGGTGTTTTTGTTTTGTTTTTTAATTAAATAATGGGTAACTCCTCTTTTCATTAGGATTTATTAATTTGTTGCATATGCATATATGAAAACAAGGTTTTGTTTCTGATCATATAAAAAATATGACCTTAAATAAAAATGCTTTTAAGCTAGTCCACATTGGACTATGATACAATTGATTATATAAACCTTGAGGAGTATTATTGCAACTATTAGTTTATTTTCAAACCAAAGTATTAGGGTAAGTAAAAAAGTATTGCTACAAAATTATAGAAGTCTTTATTAACTAAAATAACAAATTGCGAAGCTATTGTTTCTTGACATAGCCTCCATCTAATTCTATAGACTTCTCTCTACCTCTCAAGTGTCATTTCATCTACTGTGGTAGCTTATGTGTTACTATGATACTGAAACCTATGACATCAGAATTTAATAGACCAGCAGTGTAATGCATAGTGGACAGGTGTCAGGAAATCTTCCAGATTAAGAATAGATAGAAGGAACAGTTCAATTCTGAGGTATTAGCCCATGACAGACCTTATAAATTGCAGCAGGCATTGTCTGAGATAGTGCCAGAAATGAGCTGCTTAGATCAGAAGGTATTTAAATAGGACTAAAGAAGAGTTGTTTCCTTGAAGTAAAGTCAACCTTAATGACAGGGATGGAGACCTTAATTTACTGATGGCACACATTCAAAATGAGATGAAATCTTTATAAATATCAGAATGTGG